CAGCCTCCAAATGATTGGAAAATACGTTGGTGATTTTCAACAAACCCATTGCTGAAATTTGGAGACATTCCACACAGGTCACCAAAAGGGATTGGCCACCTGTAGCCCTTGGGAGCAGGGAAGAAGAAGAAGGTGTGTGTCTTTCTAGACAGTTCTGCTTGCTCACCCGATGTGCCTACCACTTTCAGAAACGCTAGGCAGGCGACAAAGACCATAAGGAAGATGTTGATACCAAAAATATGGAATTCCCTCTTTCCCTAGAGAAGTTCAGTTCCCTTCGGAGCCTGTTTTATTACAAAAGAGAGTGATCTCAAAATCCGGCAGTTGCTTTTTGGTATTGGCAAAGGGTTACCAATTTAATATAATTATTGCTATTTTCTTTTGATGGGCACATGAGAAAGGCATGTGAGATTTGGAGTGTGGGTAGGGGCTAATGCCAGAAGAAAGCCAGTTTGGTGTTGCAGCTGAAGCACCAGGCTAGAAACTGGGAGACCATGAGTTCTAGTCCTGCCTTAGGCACAAAGCCAGCTGGGTGACCTTGGGCCAGTCCCTCTCTCTCAGCCCCAGGAAGGAGGCAATGGCAAACCACTTCCAATATCTTGCCAAGAAAACTGCAGGGACTAGTCAAGTCCCAGGAGTCAAGACTGACTCAAAGGCTCACAAATTAAAAAAAACATTGTAACATCCCTTTACCCAGGCAGGATCACCTTTTTTACAGGTCTGTTCCTAGCAACAAACTTCTTCCTTTTAAAGCTTTAGGAGAATCACTAAGATTTTTTTAAAATTCCATTTCATTTTTCATGTGAATTAATGTTTCCTCACTCTGCTTTTCAGTTTTACTCTATTCTATTTTTGCGTGTGTGTGGGTCTTCAAGTCATTCTTGACTCCTGGAGACTGCCTGGACATGTCCCTGCAGTTTTCTTGGCAAGATTTTTGAAAGTGGTTTGCCCTGGCCTTCTTCCTAGGGCTGAGTGAGTTGCCCAGCTGGTTTCATGCCTAAGGCAGGACTAGAACTCAGCGTCTCCTGGTTTCTAGCCTGGTGCCTTTATCCACGACACCAAACTGGCTCATTCTACATGTATTATTGTATAAACACTACTCGGTGGAGGAAAGACATGGGTTAGAAATGCTTGAAATGAATGAAACATCTGTTCTGAGTAATCCGCATTGTTTATTCATTGTGTATTATTAACTTTTTTTTTTTTTTTGCAAGTCACTTCGAGTTTATAGTGTGAAGGAAAATGAAGAACATGTTATGCATGTAGGGTAGTGCCAGACAAGCTCAAATGCTCAATACAAAATCACAAGGAAGAGATGTTCTTTGCCACATATAAATTACTCCAGCTTTTCCCATGATGGGAGGAGAGAAGCCCCCTTATTTTAAGATGAGAGCAGAATTCTGGACAAGCTGGGGAAAGACTTTCATCTTCCAACTGGCCTCTGCGAAAAGTCTGGAATCCTCAAGAAGCTGTAGCAATCCAAGAAGCTCAGAGAAGATCATTTTGCTTCTACTTCGGTAGAAAATAGGTAAAACTTTCTTGCCAAGGATGGTGCATTCAGATTTTGATTTCTGTTTGTTGTATGGGATAAATGTAAGATTCTTGCATTCCTCAATAGAAATGAAGGAACGGGGTGGAACGTCAGCCCCTTATTCAAGTATTAGGCTTTTTCATAAAGACTTATTTCCATCCCATCTTTCTGTACTAATAATGTGAAAATCTCTCCATTTGGGAACTTGGTGTAGTGAAAACCTTCATCTGCAACTGTGAAAGCTGATAGTAACAGAATAGCCCCATCTTGTGTTCTCTCTAGAGCAGTGTTTCTCAACCTTGGCCACTTTAAGAAGTGTGGACTTCAATTT